AAAATTTCCAAGAAAAGTTTGTTTTTTTTCAATTAAACAATACCAAAATAGAAAAAATAGTATAAAATATTCGTTTCATAAGACATTTTATCGCACTCGCCCTTTAGAAAACTCGCCTCCGGCTCGTTTTCTAATATAGGGCTCGTGCGATAAAATGGCGTCTTATGAAACTTGTATTTTAATGTACTATATGTTTTAAAAATAGTGGCTTGCAATACCCCCAATATCCAACCCCACACAAATAGCGCACTGCTCTCTTTTGAATGACAAAAACAGAATCAAACAATTTATTAGAACAGTTACCCCAAAATGCAATGCCATACCTGATATGAGATTCAACCAACGAGAAATAAACCAACGTAGCAGTATTCAAACCAAGTTCATTTGACGCTATTCTTACAGCATAGCAACCACTTGCCAATCGTTTGTTTAGATTTGTAACGTGCTCATTAAACTTAAGTTGAGTATCAACATGAATACCAAGAAATTTACAGCTAGTTTTATTTTCAATTGTGTGTGTGTCTAATAATAAATCATCAAAAAAAAATTTAAATGTCAATATGTTGGTTTTCTTAGAGTTAAAACAAAGCAAGTTAGAGTCACACCAGCTCTTTACAAGATTTAGGTCTTCAGAAATAATCTTTTTCAACTCTTCAATATTTTTTCCGTTCCAGGACAGAGTAATGTCATCAGCGAATGATGTTATTTTAGCTCTAATGGGGAGGTGATTAATATCATTTAAATAAAGTAAAAACAATATTGGTCCCAACACAGATCCTTGTGGAACACCATTGGTCACAGCCAAGTTTGATGACTGAGTATCACCAATCTTAACAAATTGTTCTCTTCCCGAGAAATAAGATTCAAACCATGAGTATGAGATTCCTCCGAAGCCATAAATTTCTAGTTTTTTAAGCATTATTTTATGATTTACGCAATCAAAGGCTTTAGAGAAATCACAAAACACAACGGCGACAAGCTCACTTTCATTAAGACTGACGAATACCTGTTCCAAAAGATTAAACATTGCATCATGGGTGCCCTTTAATGGTTGGAATCCAAATTGAGTGTCACTTATTATGTTGTGTTTTGAAAAATATTTTAACATTCTTTCTTTAACTAACTTTTCAACTGCTTCAGCAATAACCTACTGCTTCAGCACAAAAAAAGTGAAGCTTCTACTTGTAATACAACAATATACTATTTTCTTTTTCTGTGAAAATGTAAAAAGTTCTTCTTAGAGAAACTGGTATCGAATACAGACACATAAAAATTATTACTGATGTTTTATTTCCCATAAACCACTCAAAAGAAAAATAACAATTATTTTAATAGTTAATTATTGTTTATTTTGTTTGTGATGGAGAAAGGGTTTGTAAAAGCCGATTCCGGAAATTGGCCAAAGGTGAGATTGGATATGCTTTCGGAATTTATGCGTTGAAACAAATAAAAAAATTCACATTAATGCCATTAAGGGTAGGTAAATAATAGTAAGATGCAAGATACACGTAGAGCAACCTTCCCCAAACAATGATTCCCTTATTGGGTACAAACTTCTAAAAATTTAGAGGCACACACTAGAAAATGAGTATTTAATTATGAACAATGACATAATGGCCCTATGAGGTTATGCTCGGAGTTATGATTTGTTTCTTGATGGTTTCTGCACTGGGTTTGTGTGCCTTCTGCCTGTTTTGAAGTTTTGGACAGGCTAATGAATAAAAATAAATAATGAATTATAATGAATTAAAAAGTTGGGTTAAGTTTTTCATAGAGATGAGAATCGATTCCATATTCCGATACTTACAAATCTGTGGATTTGATATATCGATTTAGTTGTCCCTGCTAGGAAAAGTTTACATGAAATCCATGACATCTGACTGAATAAAACTAACCAATCAGAAATGTGGTGCCGTGACGTCACGTGACCAAGAAATTTGAAATCCAAATCGAAGTTTAGAGCCTTTGCAAGTCCGAAAAAAATTGGAAAAAAAATATAGCTAAGCTCTTGGCCGAGCTCTCGGCTAAGCCTAATTTCGACTCCTCTTTCCAATAAGCAAATAAAAAAAATTCATGAAAGAAACCTATTGCATTTTTATTGAAAAAGGTGAAATATAGAAACCACCAGCAAAATATAACGGTAATCATTCAAGTAAAATAGTAGTTTTCCTACAGCCGTGCGGAAAAATCGATTTTCCTCACTGATATGCGCGCGCAAAATGAGTTTTCCCGCACGGTGCGGTAAAACTTTTTTTTTTGACATATCAGTGCGGAAATAGTATATTACATACCGAGGTGGAAGTGTTTCATTACTGTCGAGAGATTTAAGTTAGACCGAGGCGCAGCCGAGGTCTAACTGAAATCTCGAGACAGTAATGAAACTTTTCACCGAGGTATGTATACTATTTTATTTACAATCATTCGAATTTTGAAATTTTCATTTGGATTAAAACTAAAAAATACAATAATTAACCAATTTCATTTACTTTTGGCCCACGGGTCGAAAGTTTACTTTCGACCCGTGGGCCGAAAGTAAAAGTCAAAAAAGTGACATTTTCGAACTTTTTAAAAGTCAGGAAAGTCAACATTACATGTATGATTGTAAATAAAAGTTTTTCCGCACAGCTGTCAGTGCGGAATAGTTATTTATGTATCAAGGGTACTAAGTAGATGATTATGCCCCGAGGGCGACAGTCTAACAAAGCTGAGGGCCTCTGGCCCGAGGGTTCGTAAGTCGCCCGAGGGTATATATATATCTATTAGTACCCGTGGTGCATACAAACTTTTATGTCATACCAGTTGGTTGTGAATAATAATTACCTGGGAAAAAAGTGTCACTTCGCAAATTGTCACCAGTGTGCAAACATAATAATTTTTTGATAAAAATAATATGTTTATAAGCGTAAATTGTTATTTTGTTAATAAAGAATAAGTTAATTGAAAACTGTTTTTTGCGTCTTGCGGAAAATATTTTTCCGCACTCGGCTGCCGCGTGCCGAAAAATTCATTTTCCGCACTTGTTAGGTAAATAGCTATTTCCTAATCAGTGCGCAAAGTTATGTTTTCCCGCACGCGAAAGCAGTTAGACGAACGACGTGAAGCAGAATTCGGATAAGCTAAAAGTGCGGGAAAACTACTTTGCGCACGTGTTAGGACCAGTATTTTTTCTACGAGTGAAATAGCTATACTTCCTTTTTAAATTTTTAATTTCTATAGGCATCAAAAACAATTTGTTGTAACGAACTAGTTATATCTAAATCGGCCAAAAAAAAATTTGGCCTCTATCCGCGGGGCTTTGCCCCCTAAAAAAGGGGGCCCGCAGGGCTGTGTCCCCCAAAAAAGGGGCTTTCACGGGGCTCCGCCTCCCAAATAGGGGGCCTTTGCAGCCAAATATAGGGCTCCGCCCCCCAAATATAGGGCTCTCGCAGGGCCTCGCCCCCTGCGCAGGGGGCCCCGCGAGGCTGTGCCCCTCAAAAAAGTGGCTCCCGCGGGACTCCGCCCCCAAAATATGGGGCTCTCGCAGGGCTTTGCCGCCCCAAATAGGGGGTCCCCAGATTTTATTAAGGGTACCAGAAAAAAAAGTGTGCGGGAAAAAAAAATTCCTGCATAGTGTGCACAAAGTAGTTACTTTGCGCACACTCGTAGAAAAAATCCATATTATGTCTTCAAAATGGGATATTCAGAGGCTGGACTATGAGGAACAAACCTAAAAAAACCTACACTTTATTTTTTCCAAGATAGATTTTGACATTGAAAACTTTGAAACATAAACAATAACGCTTGACCCTGATTGGTCGCAAAACGAGGTGTTTCTGCAGGTTGACATCAGTTTTACAATAGCGACCAATAAGCGGCATTAGCGGCATTGTTTATGTTTCAAAGTTGACAATGCCAAAACCTATCTTGGAAAAAAATAAACCATAGTATATTTGAAATCAGGTTTGAAAGGCTAATCCAATAAGTCAATATATATATGGGGCTTTCTGTTAAAAAAAGTACAACTTTGCTTCGCCACACTTTTGTGACACACCCTGTATTCTTGTAACTAACTTCATTACAAAGATAGGTGTGAGTGCAAAATATAAGATCTGTTTCTGTAGAAATCACAAACCAGTCAGAGTGAATTTCATTGGTTGAAACTAGTTTTCTGACTGTTTTTAACCAATGAAATTTGCTCAGACTGGTTTGTGATTTCTGCAGAAACAGACCTATAGACAATCATCCGGTACCTCACCCGACAGATTACCTCACCCGGTACATAGTCTGTTTTTTTTTAAAGATAATTCCCCAAGTCAAAAATTTAGTAACTATGTTGGCAACACAAGCCTTTTCTACACAAAAATTTTGAAAGCATCGATAATTTTACATTGCATTGCCAACATAATGTGATTTTGACTTATATCTTTAAAAAAAAACAAACTTTACTATTTTCAAAAATAAGTTGAATGGTTATTGAAAGTTGTAACTGAGTTAGCTTTTAAGTTTATTTTTTTTTATTTTATTGAAATATCCGGTCACATTCCTAAAAACCTAAAAACTAAAAAAATGAAAAACCTACTAATATTTTTTACTCCAACTCTGTCACTAAACTGAACTGATGTTTGTAAATAGTCCTTATAAAGAAATCACTGCGTTCTAAAATAATGATTAAGTACCATTGTTAAAGTAGCCATCAAAAAACTTGGAAACCCTTCCTTTGTTCAAGAGAGATAAGGTCCATACCAAACCTGAATCCAGTCAACAAAAAATTTTTCATTGTCTATATCCAACTTCTAGGTCTAATTAGTGATTAATGGACTAATCGCTTATTTTTATTTCTATATTTAAATTATTCAAATAATAAACTATTGAAGACCCCCCAAACTCTATAGGCATGTCATCAATCAGCTGATGACAGATGATAAAATGTCACAATTTATAAACAAACAAAAAAGGCCTTAAATTAAATACCTAAACATGAATAACCCATAATTATTCAATACTGAAAGGGATTAACTTACCAGGAGTGAATTTTTTGCCCAGCACGTCCGGAAAAACGGACGAACCTTGGTTAGTGCTCATGGGGCTACCAGTGGGGCTGCTGCTGAGGGACCTGTCCATTCTGTCCCGTTGCGTGGGGCTGGTACAAAATGGGGCGCATCTCCTCCTCTTCGCGGGTCTGCTTCCGCCCAAAACTGAATCCCAGTCGAGGGGCCTCTTCAGTGTTGCACACGCCATTTTTTCACTCTGGCTGCTGTCTAGTTACTAGTTAGGTCAACTCAACACAAACGGACGTTTCTCGGAAAATTGAAACGGCGATTTTTTCTTGTTCTTGTCGGTCGTCGGAATGTTTTCGAAGATTCTCGAGGGTATTGTTGAAAGAAAAATTGAATTTTGTGTGCTTTTACGTTGAGAAGGCCGAGAAAATCAATTTACAGTTTCAACAAGAACTGAGAGAACCAATATGGCGAAAGGAAATAGGAGAACTCTCGCTTGCTTTTTGCTTCAGTCGATTCTCGCTTGACACTTTACTTGACAGAAAATCAACGCAATACGAACGAAAAATGATCACGCAACAAATCGCCTAATATACCCGTCTCTCTTTTACTTTCTAACTTAATGAAACGCGTTGGAAAAAGACGGAAACTGAATAAAATCCTATTGCAACCGATGAAGGCGCCATCTAGTTGTTTGAGTTGAGAATAACAAGAATGCGGCAGCAATAAATATTTTTGTAATTAGGGGTCGAGGGTCGGTTTTTCAATAGTTGTCTTCCTTTCACACCTAGGAGGAGCTCCGGAACAGCTCCGGGGCTTCACGCGCTTATTCCTTTCGAAAAGTGTTTGTCGTACCACGCATCTGTTCCCTGCAAATCGGGGGCTACTAAACACCGGAGCGAGTAGCTCGAGTGTTTCAAACTCTTGAAAGGAATACAACTAATAGCAAGTCACCTCCGGGTTAAGCATAACTCCAGACTAAACTGGACACGCTTCCCCTGGAGTTCGAACGAATGACATCTTAACACAAGGCAATTTTTTGCGAGGATAACCCAAGGAGAATAAACTTACTAAGGAGTGCTTATCGGCCCCTTTTTGGGTAATTGCCGCCATATTGGTTTTCAACTGTTTCCAACCACTGCTGACGTCATAACAAAGTCGCCAGCTGTTTGCGCCAGCGGTTTTATAAATTTATAATTTGTCATGAAAAATATTTTATTTTGATTTTGATTAACCATTATAGCGGGTAAAGCGCGATATCTGGCTAGCTTTCGTCATTCCGCCTATTTACACGTTTTCAGCATGTATGATTTAATGGAGCCCTAGGAGAATTACGCGGCGTTTTGTTTACATTTCTTTGATGTAAGTATAATAACTATAAGATAATTTATTCTATACTATTTAATTGTTTTTAGGGTTTTCTCATATTATTATAACATATTCCTATTCGAGCATAAATTGTTTGTTTATGTATTATATTCTTGTAAATATTACTGTCCCATATGGCATATGGGCCTGGGCAGAAGCTGACATTTTTAGCTGTCCTACTTACATTTTGTTTGTGGAATTAGCCATCAGGAAGCTTTGAATACTGCTTATGATAATGAAAATGTTGATGGCATAATATATCGAGCCCACACAGAAAGCAAAGAGCTCACTGACTAAGATTCAGCAGATGAGGAACGTGGTTTTGACTTATCTACTAGGCAACTTTTGTGCTAGTGCAGAAATTGTTTATTCGAATGGGAAATATATCACAGGTAGAGTAGAATTAACAATTTTTTGGGAAATCATACAATTTTAACTTTATTTTTATTTTCAGACATACCCGAGGAAATATAAAGTACCACCTTGCGCTACAGGAGAATATGCTTCGGGCTGCAGCAAGTGATTTTTGAGTCAATAATGATATAAGGTATTATGGACTGCATCATTATTGAAACACTTTTCCTGAACGTAAAAAAAACGATGTACTGTAGCAGCCGAGGAAGAACAATGTGCTGCAAATGCAATATCGACTTATTTATTCACTGTTCTCGAAAGTTTTACACTGGGTAATAATTTTCACCCATAATGCTGCTCGTGATGATGCAGGCCAAAATTCATTATAATCTATTTCGTTTATCTGACCCGAAATGATTATATCTATACAACAGCCTAACCGGATCTTTTTCTTATATTTTTGTAAACTTTCTACAATAGGACATTGCCAAAAGGGTCTCAAGGCTGGTATGGATCTCCCTTATAATGTCTGTATTTGAATAACTTGTATGTGTAATAAATAAATAAACATTTTATAAATAACTCTTTATTTTTATTTATAAATAGGTGAAAATTAAATTAACAAAGTCAAATAACTTGACCACAAATCTGATTTTTACTCGAACTACCTATAATATAATACTGGTAATTAGAATTTAATAAACACTTTACACGTTCTGCTGTTTGCTCGGCCATTTGTATGCCTATCTGAGAAGAGTTTAATAATTGATTAAAAGTATAACTACATTCTGACATTCATTACTTGTATCAGTCTCACTAGAATCTTGATTTCTTTTTCTTTCGGCAAGTTTTTCAGCACCCATGGAATCTATTTTTTGGCTCGGTTTATGGATCACTATAGAAGAGGGCAAATTCTGGGATGGTACAACTGTTTTTTTCAATATCCGACCTCTACCTGTACCTCTAAGGGTGGGCATTATAAAACTACTTTGAGAGGTAACTTAAAGTTAACTTCTGGAATTACATGTAATTCAAAAAGTTAACTGTCAAAGCAGTTTTATAATACCCGCCCTAAGACCTGTACTCTCACCTGTAAATAATAAAAACAGTCAATATTTTCAAACAAAACATTTTAAAAATAGATAGTACTTGATAAATGCCTAGAAGCAGGCCTAAAATGAAGCTAGGGCACAAAACTATCCATTATGCTTGTTTACCTTAACACAAAATTCTTGCTTAATTGAGATGCAGAGAATACACTTTCATGAATTTGGTGACTGGTTTGCCAATACGAAGTTTTAAAATCCAGAAGGCTTTTCTTCTCGACACTTCTTTTTCCATTTTCGTTTCCAAATAAACCCGTGGGCCTGTTTCAAGGGGAAATATGTAGAAACTCAATCCTTTGTCAGCTTTTTTTTTTTAGCCCAAGACTTGCATTGAGGAACACAACAGTAATGATTAAAAGTCATGATTATATGTATCTGATATAATTTTATAATTTTAGACTTTAATTATACTAGAAACTAGTTCCATAATTTCCAGCCAGCAGCCAGATCATAACATAACCTGTGGTGCAAACAGCCTACGTCAAGACGAAAAACGCCATGATGTTTACGTCACAACTGATTTTTTGGCTAGGCGGGGTAGGGGGGGATTTGTTACACACAGGCCTTATGAGGATAAGCCATCCTTAGTAGTGTGTATCATCCTTGAGGATAACCAACCTAAATTTTTGCTGGATTATGTAATGTGTCAATTGTGTCATACTCCGATAACTCCCCCACTATCAAATTCTGGGATACTCCAAAATCAAGAACACTTAATTTCTTCTGTGAGAACAGACCGAAAATCACCTTTTCTACATTTAAAATCGACGAAAAAATTAACTCACTAGCACAGCCTGAATCGCAAGCATTCCATCGAGGATCGAGGACTGCGAGTGACGTCGTCACTATAAGCTGCTGATAGTGACGTCACTCGCAGGCCATAATTTGATGAGGAGGGAGTTAGGGGAGTATGAGACAATAGGGTACTTGCATGGAAAATCAAATTGATTATTGTTTATTGCAAACTGTAGGAAATCGAAAAAAAATCGTTACTTTTTTTTAATTTCGCCCAAATATGATTATTCCGGAAGTTATACAAATATTAAGTTTTGTAGATATAGATATACTGACCATGTGCAACGTCACTAATTTATATGATAAGTGACGTCATAGGCATATTTCATAGCGTTGTATCTCCATCAATTTTTGACTAAGAAGAAAAAGAAAAAACACGTGTTGACTTATTTTTCATGGACTATCAAAATCAGCAATAAAAAAATTTGATGCAAGGAGCCTATTGACAATTGAAACATCACATAACCCTGGGCCGAGTTCAGAAATAACGCTCAGGGTGCGCGTGCGATTTTATGGGTGTGCCTGAATTGACAATTGGCCATTGGGCCCATAGCACCGTCTAGCATTTTTGAACAGCTAGGGCGTCGCACCGGTGTCACACTCACACTGGGCGTGTCATTCCTGAACTCGCCCCAGCATAATCAGATTCGCCAAAAATGCTTAGGCTAAGGCTAAGCACATAGTGGAGCGGCGAGCAGAGCAGCGGGCAGCGCAGAGAGCAGACCGTCAATTGAGCAGAGAGTGGATGAAAGAATTGTATGCACATAGTGGCGAGTTAATACTCGAGTGAAAAAGATAAAAATAAATAATTTGGTTTTAACCGAAACGTCGTCTTTAAAAATTTTGGTATTTAATGAGACAGAAAGAAAAAAAGAAGGTGCAGTGCACATCATATAAACAGAAGCAAACTTCGATTACGCGAATATCACCATTTATATGAGGAATTACGGCAACATCCAGAAAAATTTCACTCTTATCTTTTAATGATTATTAAAACTTTTGATTACATTTTGGAGAAAATAGAACAAAGATTGGTGAAAAAATGGACTAACTTCACCATAATGCCAATTGGTCCAGCAGCAATGAATTATTAATATAAGGTCAGTTGGGGTAAATGTGTTATAGAATTCGCATAGTGACACTTTAGTGGCCGATACTTTGAAAACCAAAAACATCAAAAATTTAAAAAAAAAATTACATAGTGTATCGTGATGTTATTCAACACTTCTGAGTATTTTTTTTCTGATAGGGTCCTTTTCTGATTTTCCCGCAATTTTTTTTTAAAACTATGTTGTTATATCACACTTACCCCTCCTACTGGGGCAAATGTGATAATGGTCTCTGCTCTCTCATAGGCAGTTTATATACTTTTGGGATGGGGTTATTGTGAAAGAGCGGATTTTTTTACATAAAATAGATTATTTGTGCGGCTCCTATAGGGGCCTCAACTTCAGGGTTTTGAAATAATACGCCAAGAAGTGAAAAAACGAAAATAAAACTTTTATTATTGTTTACGAGGAACAGGTAAAAAACTTAATAGGAATTCTCTTACATTAAGTATAAACGTTTTTAGGCATTTCAACTTATTTCTAACTTAAATATGGTTACTTTTTTAGCTTTTATTTAATGTTGAACCCTGTAAAGGTTATATTAAATGAAATTATGCCCCTTCGATCAATTACAGGTTCAGGAAGCACTTTAATAATGTTTTCTTCCTCAACCGTATCGATGTCATCTACTAGAGGTGATATAAACTTAGTTCCTTTTGGTCGCGAAAACTTAATTACCCAGTCCCTCCCATCCTTTTCGGTTATTTGGCCGACAAAGTGTTTCTTGGTTTTTTTTGTGGCGTACTCAACAAGTACCCATTTGTCAACCGCTGGAACTTGCTCTATCACATCCGTAGGTTCTG